GTGTTTCCACAGCAACGTCATACCTGGAGAAAAGCAGCATTGTGATAAAGCCCAGCACGTCTGTCTCCATAACAACAGGATCATGGCAAGCTGGCTGAGATTCCTCCTCAATCTTCCTCAGCAGCAGTGACCATGGTAACAATGCCACACACCTTCACTTTCCAAATAGATAAATGTCCACCTTCGGGCTCCTATGATAAATGTCTTAGGGCAGGCTCCCAAAGGAAACCAGATAGGAGAGGGTAATAGCACACGAAATGAGAAAGTCAGGTGGTGGGGCCATCCTACACAGTCCTGCAAGGACAGCGTCAGCTTAGTGTAGTGGAAGAAATCACATGTCTAAGCTGCTGCTACCCAGAGTTGTCCATCACGTCACAGAAGAACAAAGTTCCACATACTTTTATTGGGTTTTTTTTTTTTTTTTTTTTTACCTTTGGTGGTGTTAAAATTCCAGGAGCTGGAAAAATTAGAGAAAGGCTGCAAGGACTGGCTTGCAAAGTGAAAATTAAAACCAGAGAGTGCGCAGACACAGTGCGAGGGTGTTCAAGGCAGGGATGGTAGTAAAGGGTGGCACCACCATCCGCTGTGTCAGAAGCCAGAGGGCTATGCAGAGGCGGATGCTGCGGCTTTAAATGCCAGGATCAGCTGACGGCTGCTGATCACCCACGTCTGTTCAGCACACGAATGGGAGTCACAGAGGCGTAAGGCAGCACAGCACGTTAACTATGTACAGTGGGCTAAGACTTGGGTGACCCAGCAAGGAATGCATATCTGTGCAATAAAAAAGGAACTCGGAGCTATATGACTCCCGAAAACAAACTCGGTGAGGATCATGTGATGTGACATTGTCTCGACTACTTTTCTATTGCACAACATGTCTAAGGGGATTTTCTTCCAAATATACAAGATAAATTTGACCCTTCAAAGTTAATGTAATCTACATATTAATGAACTAAAACAAAGGAAAAAATACATGATTATATCAATTAATGTATTTGTTAGCTACTTTTGTCATTGCCATAACAAACTAGTCAGCAAAAGCAGTTTAAGGGAGGAAGGGCTTTTCTTGGCCCCTGGTTTGAGGTTACCATCTATGGTGGAGAAGGGAAGAAAGCAAAATCATGGTCATATTGTGTGCACAGTCAGGAAGCAGAGACACGAATGCTGGTTCCCGGCTAACATTCTCTTTGTTATCCATCACAAGACTATAACCCACTGAATGGTGCCACCCACATTCAGGATAGGTTGTCCCACCTCAGTCTAGAAACTATCTCACAGACATGCCAAAGTGTGTCTCCTAGGTGATTCCAAACCCTGCCAAGGTAGCAATCAATATTAACCATCACAGTGCATAGAAATCATTTGACAAAATTCAACATGCACTCATTATTTTAAAAAAAGAGAGAGAGAAACCCCTCTCTATTTAACAAAGATCGTTTGTAAATGTTCCTACGGCTTACCTTGTACTTGATGGTGACAGGTGTAGCATGGGTAATAAAAACAGAGACAGATATTGGGGTTCAAGCTGAAAATCAGAAAAGCTACTGGTTCTTACCACTACCTCAGACCGAAATGGATGATACTGCCTCCACAAATCACAAACTCAGACTGAGACTGAGCTGAGACCTGTCTATCTCCTCCCATCTTACAATCCTTTCTAGTGCTGGGATTAAAGGTATGTATCACCACCACCCAGCCTTTATGGCTAACTCATGTGGCTGCTGGGATTAAAGGTGTTTGCCAACACTGCCTGATCTGTATGGCTGACTTGTGTGGTGGCTTTGCATTCTGATCTTCAGAGAAGCTTTATTTATTGAAACACAAATACTATTGATGTGGGATTCCCCTCTGTATGTTGTGAATATGTTTTATTACCATTGGTTAATAAAGAAGCTGTTTCTCCCTACAGTGAGGAAGAATAGAACAAGGTGGGAATTCCAAGCAGAGATGGAGGAGAAAGGCAGACAGGCAGAGTCAAGGAGATGCCATGTAGCCATGAAGGAGACAGATGCCAAAGCATTGACAGGGATTTCTGTCCCACCTCCATTTAGTACCAAATAAACACACAGAGGCCTACATTAATTATAAACTGATTGGCCTATTAGCTCAAGCTTATTAACTCTTGTAACTTATATTAGCCCATAATTCTTGTCTGTATTAGCCACGAGGCTTGGTACCTTTTTCGGCAAGGCAGTCACATCTAGGTTCCTCTCTGTCTGGATGACTGCAGACTGACTCTTTCCTCTTCCCAGAATTCTCCTCTTCTCATTTCCACACCTTTACGTTCTACCTGATCTCCCCGCCTATACTTCCTGCCTGGCTACTGACCAATCAGCATTTTATTAAACCAGTACAAGAAACAAACTTTACAGGGTAAAGCCATTGTCCCACAGCAGTCGGGAACCTTACTGGTAAACCATGAGCCTCATGGTAAAATATAAAATAATAGAAATAGGTTCTTCCTCGGCACTACCTGCGAGGTGGCTGCCATCTCCTTTGTGGCATCATGGCTGCCCTCCGATCTCTGGTGAAGCCCAAGATCGTGAAAAAGAGGATCAAAAAGTTCATCTTGCACCAGTCAGATCGATATGTCAAGATTAAGCGAAACTGGCGGAAACCCAGAGGTATTGACAATAGGGTGCAGAGAAGATCCAAGGGCCAGATTCTGATGCCCAACATTGGTTACAGGAGCAACAAGAAAACCAAGCACATGCTGCCTAGCGGCTTCCAGAATTTTCTGGTCCACAACGTCAAGGAGCTGGAGGTGCTGCTGATGTGCAGCAAGTCTTACTGTGCTGAGATGGCTCACAATGTTTCCTCCAAGAACCGAAAAGCCATCGAAGAAAGAGCAGCACAGCTGGCCTTCAGAGTCACCAATCCCAACGCCAGGCTACGCAGTGAAGAGAATGAGTAGATGGCTTGCAAGCGTGTTTTATTTGTGTTTAAATAAAACCACAAAAACTGCCACAAAAAAAGAAATAGGTTAATTTAATATATAAGAGTTAGTTAATAAGAAGTCTGAGCTAATAGACCAAGCAGTGTTTTAATTAATATAGTTTCTGTGTGATTATTTTGGTGGGCAGGAATGAACAAGCAGCCTCTGCCTACATACTATAGATGGTCTAAATGCATTCCTGAAAAGTCAAGAATAAGATTGGTATGTCCATTCATCATTTCATTTAACAAGCTGTTTACTTATGCAGAAAGGTCAAGGAATCCAAAACAAACAAAAAGCAGAATGCAATTGCATTAGTAGTTTGTCAAGGTCATAGAATACAAGATAAGTACACAAAAGAAATTGTATTTCTACAGATGATCAATGAACAATCACTCAAAAAATATTTAGGTATAACTCAAACAAAAATGTTTATATCCTTAAATTTACGTATTAAATTCCTAACCCACATGCAATTAGGTTTATATGAGATCATTATGGAGCATTCAAAATGCAATTAGTGTACTCATAAGGACTGAAGAAGATACTAGAGTTCTGTCCCTCCTGTGTAAGGATGTAAAAAGATTCAGCAAATCAGGAACCAAATTGGCAAGTACTTTCATCTTGGACATCACAGTCTCCAAACTATAGGATTCACTGTTTGTCACTTACACCACACGATCTGTGTTATTTTGTTGTTATATGACAAAGATAGACTTAAATGCTAAAAACAGTGCCACAAAGAAAGATAATAAGTGTAGAGTTATATCATGTTATGGAGTTGGAAGAGCTAAAGACAAAAATGTGAACTCTTCCCAAATTAATACCTAATTCCTGTCGAAATCCTTGCAAGATTTTTATAGGTGTAAACAAGATGACTGTTAATTTTATATGTGTACAGGAGAAGTGGGTGCAGTAATACAGCTTTGAAAAATAAGAAAGTGGGAAGAACCACCCTACAGGATTTTTAGACTTAGTAGGTTATTACTACCATCAAGACTATGTTGTCCCATCAAGGGGCAGAGTTAGTAGGTCATTACCATCATCAACAGTATGTCGTCCTGTCAAGGGGCAGACACACAAATGGACAGATGAGAGCGCAGAGCCAGTAGACATTTCTAGACAGTCTTATAAAGGTCCAAAGCAGTTTTACAGAGGAAAGGCAGCCTTGCCACAAATGATACTGGAAGAATTGAACACTTTCAGCCCAAGTCTTGTGTTTTCTATAAGCTGTGGCCTTAAAACCTAAAAACTTTTTAGGAAAAATGCAAGAGAAAAGCCTTGGAAATCAAGGGGGAAAAAGTTAATGCTTTCAGTCAAAAACACAACTCATAAAAATAAGTCTTAATGAATTGTAGTACACCAAAATTACAACCTTCGCCTTTAGATTTATTAATAATAAGAGCATAAAATGGGAGATAGAGAGATGACTCCTTGGTTAAGAGCACTGTTTGCTCTTCCAGAAGACCCAGGTTTAATTCCCAATACCCACATGGTGGCTCACAACTGCCAGTAAGTACAGTCCCAAGGGATCTTACACCTTCTTTTATCCACCATGGGCACTGCACACGCATGGTGCACAGACATACATTCAGGCAAAATCATACATATAAAATATTTTTCTTTTTTTCTTTTTAGTTTTTTGAGACAGAATTTCTCTGTATAATAGCCTTACTTGTCCTGGAACTAACTCTGTAGACCAGGCTGGCCTCAGACTTACAGAGATCTGCCTCCCTTGTTCCCAAGTGCTGAAATTAAAGGGGTGCACCACCACTACATGGCTAAAATACATTTTCTTAAGAATTTTAAAGAAAATGACAAACTGAGAGAAATTATTTACAAACAACATACCTGAAAAAGGACTATACACTTAGCACTCATAACTTATGAATAAATAGCTCAATTATGACATGGACAAAAGATGCAACCACATTTCAACAAATAATGTTTACAGACATAAATAAATAAATGTAATGAAGTCTGAGATCTAGCCATAAGGAAAATACAAAGGCCTATCAGAATGGCTAAAATAAAAAACAGCAGAGCCAACTATGATGGTACACACCTTCAACTCCAGCACTTAGGAGACGGCTTGCTCTGCATAGCCAGCTCCAGCATAGCCAGGACTATAGAAGAAGACCTTGTCAAAAAAAAAAGTGAAAACATGAAATAAACTGTCAAAAATAAGCCCGAAATAACAGTAATTACAACAAACTTTATTTAAACTCTTAGTTTGGATATTACTAAGCTATGTTTAAAAAGAAGACTTCTAACATGAAATTTGTGAGCTTTCCCTCAAACCAACCAGTCCTCTCACCCTCTTTGTATGTCAGCTGGGAAATCCCACAAGCTATTTCCATTTTAACAGTCATTGCCAGGTGTTAGCAGTGAACCCACAGTTCTAAATGTTCACCCATTATTTCCTTCACATACTAGGAGCAAGTACTGGGTCTCAGGCTAGTCACGCTTAGTTCAGCTTAGATTCAAGCATGGGAGCCCATGTGGAAGATAATGCCAGCACCTGGGAGGCTGAAGCAGGAAGGTCACAGGCCAGACTGGAAATCAGGAAGATCCTGTTTCAAAAGAAGGGAGGGAAGGACACAGGGAGGGCAGGGAGAGAGAGGCAGAGGGACAGAGGAAAGAGAATCAGGAATTTCTACATTCCCCTCCCCGCCCTCTCATCCTCCACCACCACCACCCACAGCCTCCCCACAGTCCCGGCAGTATCAGAAATCTATAGACAGCTTACAGAGAGCGAGAACAGAGTTGACTTGCTACTTATTTGTTATAAAGGCCACAGAAAGAACAGCCAAAGGGAAGCCGCACTGCGCAAACTGTGGGGAAGAAGAGGGAGCAGAGAATCTGTGCGGTCCCCAGTCCCTCCCAACCCTCCCGACACCTTGACATTCAACCAGCATGCCCTCCTAGCTTTGCCATTTAGAAGTTTTCATGGAAATTTCATTACTTAACTACGCTTGATTAAATCCGCAGCATTGGTTATTAATTCAATATCCAGCGCATTTTCCTTCACGATTGTTTATAATCTTTTGTAAGAAGCAAAGATAAGTAGAAGATAGAGAGATGAGAGATAGATAGATAGATAGATAGGTAGATGATAGAAAGTAGATGATAGTAGATATATAGATGATAGATAGATAGATGAATAGACACACAGACAGAGAATAAATGTTCAGCGTTTACGCAGAACGCACCTCAACAATCCCACTCCTAAGCACACACACTGACAGCAGGCTGGCTCTGCTCTGGGTTATCCAGCTTTGCGTAGCACAGCAGCTTTCAAGCTGTGCCTAGCCTTAAGTTATTTCATTTTACAAAGCAACAGTTTTGACTTGCGTTACTCCATTTTGACTCTAAGTGACAAGAAAGAACGGCTCCTTAACTGCCCCATCAGCACACCAGGAGACACAAACTCATGGTTTATTCATAAGCATAATTAATGACACCTGCGAATGCATCAAATCATAAAAAAAACACCAGACACAGGACTTATCAATCACACGGATACAACCCCTCGCCTGGGAGATGTGACAAGCACGGCTACCTGATACTCGCTCGCTCATCACACGCCTTGGATGGGAACACTGCCAGTGAGGGACCGCTGCCTCTGTCCCCAAGCTTCAGATCAACCACGGATCCTCCTGCCCTGACAATCAGCTTCAAACTGACACCCGAAATGCCTGTCCCCCTGCCCTGCAGTGGACAACTTCATTTTCGGACAGTGCTGCTGTGTCTCTGTGTCATACTTCTTAGCTGTCCTCCAGACTTTCCCTTGTGCCACGATTCCACAGCATGCATACATGGGTATGACATGTGATCTGAGAGCTACCATTAGCAGTTAGAATAAAACATCCAAAGGTCAAGTGTATCAGCAGACATGGCAGCAGTTGATAAATGACTACTAACTAAACTGATGTATGGATCTATTATGTTGGTCAATAGATTCTGACATTATGGAAAGACAATAACCTGCCATTTGTTCCTGACATTGCATCCACACATGTATGACAGAAACCCTTGCTGGGACCACTAGCTTGGCATGCTAATATATGTCACATATTCGTGACAGCACTGTTTGGAAGAGCAAAAAATCCTAACAGTTGGGATAGAATAATGTCTTCAGACTGAATAACAGTTTGTCTCAGGGAAAAGAAATAGTTACCATGGCATGGATGAATCTGTCAAATGTTAGTAAGAAAAACAAGTCCTAGAATTTTATTCTTTGTAAAGTTAAAAAACAGATAATACTGTATTTTTCTGTCATATATGTATACAAATATGTATGTATATGAATATGCAGCATCCATATTTACCAAATATTCTTACTGTGTGTTTATATGGATATATTGTATGGATACATACACTATCTATTTGATATATACATATATCATATATACTTAGTACAAAATATAAAGGTATATTTGGCAAAATTATTTTTAAAGAAAACAATGAAAAACACAAAAACTAGGCAAAATTTTTCCCAAGCAGGGAAGCAGGTGATGGCAGAGACACAGCTGCCGCCATCTTTGTTCTCACGTTGAGCCAGGAGTTAAATGCAAAAGAAAATCTGTGGTGGATGAAAAAGAGATAAACTTGCTAAAAATGAGCCAGAAACACCCAAATATGTCTAATTTGATACTCATGTTTCTAAAAGATTGCAGAAGTTGCTAAAACATAGCGGTTCTACATGCTGAGTGATGGACAGCAGGCCAAGAGGACTCATGATCATGAACAATATGCATTTAATAACAGACTTTAAAATACAGAGAATAGCTGACAGACAACAGAAGGAAATTAATCCGGCTCCTTGGAAATTGTTAAACTCATATTTTTATCTCTGTCCTTCCATGAGGCGCCATATACCAGGCATGAGTCCTGTTAGCAACAATTTATCTCTCACACGTGTGGAACCCAGAACCCAAGACCAAGGTGGTGGTACATTTGGTGTCTGGTGAGACTCCACAACTCCTCATAAACTGCATTGGCTCATGATGACCTCATTTCATAGGAAAGCCTCTTTTATAAGAACACGAATGACATTGATGGAGGCCCCACACCATGACGTAATCACCCTGAAAAAGCCTCACATATTACTACAGTCATATTGAGAATTAGATTTCAATATATGAGTTGGGGAGAAGGAGACACAAACACTCATACCAACTGATAGCCTAAGTAAGAGGGGAAAGAAACAGAATATTTAATCTCCAATCAAGAGGTACATAAATTCAAGCCAATAATACACCCACAAGAATAGCCATCCTCTAAGGGGAAAGAGACAGGGAAGGAGAGTGAAGGGGAAGGAGAAGAAGAGATAGAGAAAGAGAGAAGATCACTAATACTACATGATATCCTTGATTCTACAAGGGTAGTAGCCAACATGCTGCAAAGCCAGAAGAAACTAAGACTCACGCTATTAAACACAGAGGCACAAACTACATAACACATCCCTAACTGTGAGTTCGGGCTTTCTCAGGAATGATTTCTTTTTCTCAAGTGTTTTATCTTCCAACTTTGTGAAACAAGAGGTATTGGCGGTTCTGGGAATAGACTCGGCAGTGTGAGAAGCAAATTCCCACTTCCTCTGAAGCTTCCAGAAAAGCACAGCTTTTCTGTGGGATCAAACTGGCCTGACAGCATTAATCTGGCAAAGATTTGTAAGACACCTAGACTTCAGAGACATCCTAGGGCAATAGTTCCTCACCTCTAAGAAGCTATAATGCTGATTGGTCTTCATTAATGTGCTACCCTGGAGATGTTTATCTGCTTCTTACAGACACAAACATTGGTTGCCTTTCTTTGTTACGCCAGAAAAAAAAAACTTGTTGGCACTTAACATGACTGGCAAAATCAAGTATAATTGTGTTGGCGAGAAAGCTTTGTCTTATTTAAATAAATGAATAACACCTGGGCTAAGTAGACAATCACGACAAAACAACAGTCTCCTGGGCACTCAACAGTGGAAGCCCTATATGTTAAAATTTGTGGACTCCATTTAAATAGCACGTAGAGGGAAAGCTCTGTATCTGAATATATTGAAGCATGACCAAGAAATAAATTATTTCTCCTCTTCATCATCCTTCCGTTCTTTGTCCCTCCTCCTTCCTTCCCCAAACAAAACTCAGTCCTAACTGTATTGGATGAACTCAAGCAAACCAGGCATCCTCGCCCCAGGAGAGACTGAGCCCCGATGGTCCACAGGATACGTGGAGTCCGTGAAAGCTAAGGAGGCAGCCATGCAGGAGAGGAGCCCAGCTCAGCCAAGCAGAATGACGGGAAGTCTGCCACCACCATCAAGCCGAAGGGAGTCGGGTGGGAGCAAGGGAGGAAGGCCCCTCATGGACCAGCAGCCTGGCAGGAGGTCAGAGCTGAAGTACCGGGAGGATAACCGCCCCCTGCGAGGGCGTGGAGGCCAGGAATTAGAAATCAGCTGCACATAGGATGAAACAAAGAGTGCCCGGGAAGTCTTAAAATTTCTACCAACTCATAAAAAGAGCTAAAATGTTTAAGGACTCGCTTATTTGTGTGCTCACTCATTTATTTATTTTGTGGTGCAGGGAAGCACACTCGGAGCCTTGCACATGAACAAACTTCTCGCTTACAAATATTGCCTTTCTTGCTCTTTGTTCTGATCATCTTTTATGTCCCTTATAAAATTTTATTATTTTCTTCAAATAATTCTTGTGCTTTCCTTTCAAAACATATTTCTAAGTATTGTGTGCATGCTCCCATTGATATAAATGCTATGTTTTTTACTCATTACTTATTACTTATGTTTAAAAGTTACTTTTAGATAGGGACTCACACTGTAGCCCAGACTGGCCTTAAATTTACAGCAGTTCCCCTGCCTCAGCATCCCAAATCCTAGAACTTAAACATGTTACCAGTTATCTAAACAAATCTTCTCATTAATTTTTATGTTTTATTTACAAATGCCTTGTACTTCCTGAATATGATGTCATTTCATCAGTTTTCCTACCAGTGATACCAATTATCACTGTTTTAATATTTATTTTACTTTAATTATGTGTGGGGGTTTTTGCACATGAGTGCAGTTCATTCAGAGGACAGAGGTGTCAGATTCTCCTGCACCTGGAGTTATGGGTGGTTGGGAGCCCCAAGACATGAGCGCTAAGAACTTAATTCAGGTCCTCTAGTGGAGCGGGAAGCACTTAACCACTAAGCCATCTCTTCAGCCCCCAGTTATTATTTTTATGGTCTCTGTACCAGGAATTTTCAATAATTGATAAAATGATAACACAGCTTTGAATAGTTCTCTATTTTAATAGGAAAATATTTCCCAACTTGATTTTAGGGTAATGTTTACTGTCAGGTGCCAGCGAATGGCTGCGGTATGCTTTAATTTGGTAATGGAATGCGAAGCAGCAAGCCGTACAAGCTAACAACGACGTAGGGTTGTCGGGAAACGTCAGTCCTCAGGCACTGAGTTAATGAACTTGCCCTTCGGTTTGAACATCACATAGTGTTCTGCTAGCTAAGCAACTAGAACCATAAATCTTCCTATCGCAAGATCTAGGGGTATCCTTGGAATACTTTGTACTGCAGAAGAATTCACTTGTTTTAAAAAACTTGGGCTAAGCCTGGAGCAATGGCTCAGCTGCTAAAGGTTAGGCTCACAACCAAAAATAAAAAAATTTGGGCTAGGTAGGCAGTTTGCTCTTCAAGCTGTTTAGAACATTGAGAGTATTCACCATACAGATGGAGAGTCATAGGCCGTTCCAATTGGGGGTACCGTGAAATGAGTCACTTACAAACAATAGGAATATACTCTATACAACTTTAGATGGCTAAAAGGTCACATTAGGGTGCTGACCTTTGACCGAGAAAGGACCCACTTCCTGGTTCTCAGACAACTTAAAACCTTACTGTGTCTTCTCATGCAGAAGGAATATGGGAGCTCTTTAGGGTCTTTTTTATAAGGGCACTGGTACTGTTCATGAGCACTGCTCCCATGATTATCAAAGTCACCACAAAAGCTCTCCTGCTACCTACTACCTTGGACATTAGGAGTCTAACATACGAACTCAGTAGAATATAAATACTCAATCTGTAACAATAAAAAAAAAAGATTTAATGTAACAGAAAAAATAATAGTTGTAAACAATGAACAATAAAGAACTCTGTCCTATTCCTAGCTTATTTATGGTTGAATTGGGCACCAATACTGACTTTCATCAAATATTCTTCTATACCTATTAAAATGATATGATTTGCTAATCCAATAAAGTATTTATGGATTTCTTGCCACTAGTTCATTTTCATGTGTCTAAAATAAAAATATATTTGATAAAGCATTACTATTGATTTAGTGCAAATTTATTTTTTACTAATATTTTTTAAGTTTTTTCTCCTATATTGACAAATAAGGCTTGCTTAAAATCCTTCTCTTCCTCAAATCTAGGTAACAATAGAGGTGGCATTGCAGGCATGGACAAATCATCCAGGACATCCCTGAAACGAGAGGATATTCTATAGATCCCCCAAAACCAGACCTCAAGGAGTCCTCCCGCTTGGTGACCTCTCTCTCCTCTGTGCATTTTCTCTCCTCCCTCCTGGAGGAAGGGAGCTGCTGCCTTCACTGACCCAGCACTACTATAAATGTCCTCACGTCTGTACCATGTTGTTGGAAGCATTTCTGTAAGTCGCCAGCCCAGAAGTGGAACCGCGGCACAGAGGTGTGTCTCTCTGGAGGTGCCGCTCATGCACCCGGCCCTTCCTCCCCAATTCCTGTCATTGTGACACGTTTTGTCTGTTTTGCTTCATTTATGACAGGGGTTAAGTTGTTAGCCCAGGCTAGCCTAGAACTTCTGATTATCCTGCCTCAGCCTCCTGAGTGCTGACTATAAGTCTGTGCCACTAACATTGTGAAACCTTTTCTTAAAGAGTTTTACTTTATGTGTGTGAGGTTTTTGACTATAAGTATATATGTGCACCACATGTTTACAGTGCTCACGGAGGTCAGAAGAGGACATTGGATCACTTAGAACTAGAGTTACAGATGGCTGTGAACTGTTGTATGGGTCCTCTGCAAAGGCAGCCAGTATGTTTAACTTCTGAGCCATCTCGCCAGCCACAGAGACATAAATAAGACTCAAAACCCATTCATTATATGTTTCAACTTTATTTTTCTAGGGCTTCAATTGTTTTTTTTTTTTCTAAAATGAGCTCTGAGTTCTTCAAGTAACCTGCCTTTTACAGTGCTAATAAAAATACTTAAGATTATTGTCTTAGGGTTTCTATTGCTATGAAGAGACACCGTGGCCATGGCAACTCTTATAAAGAAAAATATTTATTTGAGGTGGCAGCTTACAGTTTCAGAGGTTTAGCCCATTATCATCATGGCAGGGAGCACGGTGGCTGGGAGTGTGACAGCATGCGGGCAGACATGGGTTTGGAAAAGGAGCTGAGAATTCAGCGTCTTGATCCAAAGGCAACAGGAAGTGGTCTGATATACTGGTCCTGGCTTGAGCATATATGAGCCCTCAAAGCCCACCTCCACAGTGACACACTTCCTCCAACATGGCCATACCTACTCCGAGAAAGCCATACCCCCCAAGAGTGCCATTCCCTATGAGTTTATGGGGGCAATTACATTCACACTGCCACAGTTATACATTTTTATTTGGGCATGAATAACTTTTGCAAAATACATTGATTTTTGGCATAAATCATTCTCTTATTGCTTCCTAGAGATTACCCAGGCATATAACATGTATTATAAAGTGATAAAGAAATTTCAGGTCACTGTCCTATCTTTCTATTCTTATTAAATTTTAATCCTAGAATATGACCTGCAGTATCTCTAGCATTTAAATCTTAAGATTTTCTTTGAGATCAAGAACATCAGGTTTTATAAATTATCCAACTATAAATGAAAAAGAATACTTCCAATTCAAAATGTGTATGTTTCTGTAAATGCCAATTACATTGACAGCATTTAAAGTAGCATTTGGCTCTCCTGGTGCTCACTTAATTTGCTCACTACATCTGTTTAGTTAAACAAGACAGTGAAGTCTCCCACTGCTATATATCTTGATCAAGTTTCCCTTGGCTGGAAGAGGAATTACAGTTTTCAGTAGTGGCTGGAGATGACTAACCAAGGCCTGAAGGGAGGTCAATTATGCAGTTATTTTGGAAAAGAACAGGCATGTTGAGGAACTATAGACTATCCAGAATATTCCAGAAACCAGGAGGAGGCCAAGGTAGATGGGGGGTCTAAGAGAGAAATGGGCCATTCGAGCAATGCAATCAAAGTGTAGCGGACCTAGTGGTGAGCCAGTGAGAAACCAGCTTAACTCCAGATGTGCTCCCTCTGATAGCCAGCATCCCAGAGCCACATCAGCCTCTCCGGGAGGTCTCTGCAAGCTCATCAGACCTTTTGACTTGAGAAAAAGATACAAATGCCCCTGCCACTCCTCTTTGAGTGACATTGGAATTCAAAATACAGCTTTCTCCTCAAAAGTTCTCCACTCTGGACCCTTCAGATACTAATCATAAATGAGTTTGCAAAGCACTGAACCTGTAAGTCCTGATCTACACCTCGCAGAGTTTAGTACCTATCTTGTTTCATCCCAAACTTCCATTATAAAACCTGTAATGATCAACTTTGATTGCCAGCTTAGACTTAGAAATGCCTACAGGATTCATCACCCACCCTGTGTGCCTACAGGGGCCCACTTCAAATGACAACTAGCTCACAGAGATAGCACCTGAGGGGAAAGACCCACTGTAAACACAGACAGTATTGTTCCCCAGCCTAGGGACCCAGAAGGAACAAAAACAGCAGGGGAAACTTGCCTGCGGTCTCTACCTGCCCCTCTCTGCTTCCTGGATGGCATGAGCTGGGCAGTGTTCCTGTGCCGCCATGTTTCTTCCTAGTCATAGGCTCAAAAGCAGCAGAGCCCTCTGTCTGGGGCAGAAATCATTCAAACAATGAACAAAAATAAATTTCCCCCCAATTGTTTCTTTAGGGTACGGGTTACAGCAATGGAGATGCACCATAATAGCCTATGAAAATACAAGTCGAGGACTTGAAAAATGGCATCAAACACAAGCTCCCTTGCCTTGCATCAATCCATGCTTGTGTAATGATATTTTCAAATTAATGAGTGCTTGCTATGAAGTCGGTAAATAATTAGTATTAATTATCATGTTTGATAATTGGTATTAATTTGGGGAGGAAGAGAGAGCAGCAGAACAGGCTATTATAATCACCCCACTTTATCCATGAGGAAGATACATCTTTCCAGTCAACTCTCAGCTAGCGTCAAAGCCGTATCTTGAACCCAAGTCCATAAATCCTCCAAATTAGGTTTCCCTACCACTATTATTTGAATAAGAACATATTACAGCTAGCTGAGGTGGTAAGTCAGCATGGCTCTGTTTATGCATGGCCAGGTTTGTTATAAATGTAATGACCTTCCCAAGTTCTCAGAAGCTGAAGAATTGCCAGACAATTCTTTGGTAGACCCTGGGTCTACCAAAAGTTTTTACAAATTTTACCAGGATGTAGGTGAAGGAAGAAAAGGAAGGAAGAAGGGACAGAGGAAGAGAGGGAGAGGTGGAAGGGAGAGAGGGAGGGAAGGAAGGAGGTAGGAAGGGAGTGAGGGAGGGAGGGACAGAGGGAGGGAGGGAGAGAGAGAGGCTGGCTAATGTAAGGAGGTAAACCAAAGGTTCCTGGTGAGAGGTTTATTGTTAGACCAGCTTCTCAGCAGTTTTCTCTTCTGTCCATGTATCTAAAGACCCCCTGAGAGTCTGATGGTTTCCCATGACTTCTCAGGAAAGCAAAATCTATTACTCCAGCTCCGTGTCTTCTGTTACATGGAGTGTTTAACAGTGAAGTGAGACACGGAGCCCTCCCAGATGGAGTCAGCAACTCCATCCCAGATGTAAACACAACTCTTCTGGATCAGCCTACATCCTGTGCATCACGACTGTGCACTGCTCAGGCAGATGGGGAAACAAAGCGACCTTTTCTCTACTACCCACTGGCAGTCACTCTCAGTCAGGGTCACAGCGCCCCTTAGTTGGTGCCTATGTCTCACTTCTCTGCAGTCTGCCTTCTGTAGTGAGGGGCTGCAGGGCAGGCCTGCTTTTCGCCTCACCCGGCTCCTGCATGGCTAGCTTAGCCCCAGAAATAATTACACATAAGTTGTATTCATTTAAGCACTGCCTGGCCCATTATCTCTAGAGAGTTAGTTACTGACTAACTCTCATATCTTGATATTAACCCATTTCTAATAATCTGTAGCACCACGAGGTGGTGGCTTACCTGAAAAGATTCAGTATGTCTGACCTGGTTGCTGGCTCCATGGCGTCTGCCTTCTAGCCCTCTTCCCAGCATTCTGTTCTGTTTACTCCGCCTACCTAATTTTCTGTCCTATCAAGGGGCCAAGGCAGTCTCTTTATTGACCAATGAAAATAACACAATAGACAGATAACCCTCCTCCATCATTTCCCCTTTTTCTGTTTAAACAAAAAAGAAAGGCTTTCATTTTAACATAGTAAAATTACACATAACAAAACAGTTATCAAGCAAGAATTACAGTCATAATATTTATAACTAAATCTTTATCATAATAATGGAAAACTATAACTACGACTATCCATTCTTTAACTCCATCAAAGACTCCAGAAGGATATATTACCTAAGTAAACAAGAAGTAAGCAACTTCCAAAACTCTAGAAATGACAGAGACATCTCGCTGCCTGGACAGTCATCCAAAGTTCCTCTGTATCGTTGGGGCATCCATTTTTGGCCTTCAGGCCCATAATATCCAGCAGACATTTCCATGAAGCTGGAACTTTTAAAGGCAGTTCAGTCACTATCTGCTGTGTCCTGCAGAATGTCTCACAGACTCTTTCAGGAATCAGGAACCCCGAAAGATCATCTCATCTTTAGGCAAGTTCAGCAGTCCTCTCTCTGCAGGTTCTCTGTGTCCAGTTTATATAACAGCCCAGGCAAGAGCAGTTTCTTGCCCAAATGGCTAACCAACTCCATAAGGAGCCTCTTCGATGCCCATCTTCCTCTTGAAGTAGATTGGTACTGCCAGGAGCAGACGTGTCTCATTGTCATGAAAATTCCTAAGTTATTAAAACATTAAATGCCATGTTCTGTAGTCTTTGAAAGATATGAATATCTATCTGAAATATATCTACGCACTTCTAGAAAATCAGACTAACATTACTACAAGCTTTACTATTATCGATGATTATCCATTAACAACCTATATTTTCTAATTATACATTACATTTTTAAAATGAACTACACAATCACAATACATCAGTCAAGATCAGAAATATATATACATATAACAAAATTGACCTTAAAATCCATACCAATGAAATTACTCATATCTATATCATATCCCCCTTTAAATGTAAAAGAACATTTATAAACAATATTTGGGAATATGGACGTAGTTATTTCTCTCCAAACTTCTTCCTGCTGTATAGGGGCGCAGTTAATCAGGTCTTTCATGGTATAACCTGTCTGCCAGGTTCATCTCAGTCGGCAGTTGAGTGAAGAAATTTTTTGAGGGTGTTTACAGAAACCTTTCAGGAGGGCGTGGTCTATCATACCATATTGGGATAGAAGCAATCAACAGGGTCTCATCCTCTGTGAAAACAAAAGAACCACCTCCTTTCCAAAGCATCATATTCTTAGACCCAAATTCTGAAGTCAAGGTATTTTCAAAAT